AGATAGATAGATAGATAGATAGATAGATAGATAGATAGATAGATAGATAGATAGATAGATAGATAGATAGATAGATAGATAGATAGATAGATAGATAGATAGATAGAAACAAAACCAATAAAGCGAATTAACAGAAGGAACAATGATTATTTTAAAACTATGCAGCAGCCAAGAACAGATGAAATCACAAAGCGCATCACTGAGAGAAAAATGTCTAAATATATACAGGTCTTCTCTGTCTGCCAATTTAAATGCATCAAGAAGATGGACCTGGGGAACCCTGGGAGATTTCACAACTGATGATCTCATATGGGTCAGACCTCTGGTGTAAAGGGCCACGGGATCAGTGTGGCAATGTCTTCTCCTTCTGATCTTTTTGGAGAGGGGGGGGGAATACAGTACTCCCTCCAGGGCTGGCACTTTCTAGTCCCAGAATTAGCTACGATCAGATCAGAGAGGCTCTTGAGGAAATGGCAGAAATGATAGCGAGCTTGTGCTGTCAAGTCAATTCTGACTTCTAGGGACCCTTTTCAGGGTTTTCTAGGTAGTGAACACACAGAAGTGGTTACCATTCCCTTTTTCTGGGAGCAGCCAGGGTCGATGCAGCTTGCCCAAGGCCACACAGGCTGGCTCTTCCCCCAGGAGCCACAGCGGGGAATTGAACTCCCAACCTTTGACTCCACAGCCAGATACTTAACTCACTGAGCTATCCAGCCAGTGCGTACAGTAACATAAGCAATATGTTAACCTCTCACAAAAAGATAGAAGCCATCATTACTGTGATGGCTACTGCTGTTGAGGCTATGTCCTTCTGTGCACTTACAAAGATTCAGAGCTTTGAAAAGTCTTCCCCCACCACCTCAACTATGACTCCCAGAAGCCCGGCTGGGTGGGTGATTCTGAGAGCGCCAGCCCAAACACAGAACATTTACAAGTTCTATGTCGATGCTTTCTTTCTCATGCACCCTCTCCTAGTTTTCAGTAAAATGGAACTGATTTTGAACCAAGCATCTGTACCATTCACCCCAATTCACTAAGCAGCAGATTTTGCTTTAAACATTTATATATGAGACAAACATTTTCCAGAAAGAAAGAAAAAAACACATAACCAAAGTGGATAAACTTTATTTTAAGACAGGCATGCTCCCTTCTGTCAGACAACCCTTCTTTTAAAATAATGCCATCTACAAGACATCCGCATCACCTAGAAACTAAGTAAACAGATCCCTTCAAAAATATAGCCTTTTCCAAATAAAGCATCTGCTTTAGATCCAGTAATGAATCGTGTCCAGAAAAGACAGCTGAAAGCAGAGGTCAAATGGAAGTTGTAGTTGAACACATCTAGAAGCGACAAGGTTGGATGTAGCTAATCTATGGGAATATTTTTGTGGAAAAGGAATTTTTAGTCGCTGCTTCCATTTCCTGACAGTTAGGGAGCAGACTCTCTCCTCCTAGTCCAGTTCCTAAATACTAAACACATTTGACTACTCGACTCAAAGCTCTCAATTAAATCAATTAAAACGCCTTTAATCCTCATCCTCATGTGCCGTCAAGTCAATTCTGATCTATGGCGACCCTTTCAAAGGTTTTCCGGGTAGGAAATACTCAAAAGCGGTCCACCCTTCCCTTCTTCTGACCCTCCCCCAGGACTGTGCAATTTGCCCAAGGCTACACAGGCTGGCTCTACTTCCAGGACGCAGGCCCAGCCCCTGGCTCTGAATGTAACATGGCCATATCCCTATGTTTTAGAAAAAACAAATACATTTGGAAAGCACACCAGATCTGCACTTGTAAGTACAAAGAATAAACTACTTAAGACCGGGAATTACTGGTCAAAATTTTGGATGCATCTTTTCCAATGTCCTTTTATCAAGTTAGTGGGTGCTTCACCAGACAGGCTGGAGGGCCATTTCCCTGCCCTGAATGGGTTTACACTCCCCCAAAGGGACAGGGTATGCAGCTTGGGGGTGCTCCTGGACCCCAGGAAATTGTACCAGCTACGGCCCTACCTGGACGAGCAGAGTCTCATGACAGTTACACATGCACTGGTAACATCTCGCATAGATTACTGCAGTGCGCTCTACGTGGGGCTGCCTTTGAAGATGGTCCGGCGACTGCAACTGGTCCAGAATCGAGCTGCGCGGCTGGTGAGGGGTGGGGCCGCTAGGCCGATTCTTTTTAAATTACATTGGATACCAGTTGCTGGCTGGGCCCAATTCAAAGCACTTCTTTTGACATATAAAGCCCTAAACGGCTTGGGCCCTGGATACCTGAAGGACCGCCTCCTTCCATATGAGCCTATCTGGCAGTTAATATCTAGCCAGGGGGCCCTTTTGAAAGAGCCGTCCCTCAAGGAGGTAAGAGGGATGGCTTGTAGAGAAAGGGCCTTTTTGGCAGCTGCCACCAGACTATGGAACGCCATCCCAACTGAGATTTGTCTAGCGCTGACGTTGATGACGTTTCGGCGCCAGGTCAAAACCTTCCTGTTCCAGAAGGCTTTTAATTGAAAGAATATCAACTGTGGGTCCTGATGGCAATTTTTAGAGTATATATTTCAATTGCATTTTAATTGTTTTGTCTTGTTATTGTATTTTAAATGTTGTAAGCTGCCCAGAGACCTTTGGGTAGTGTGGGTGGCATATAATATATATATAATGTCAGAATCCTAAATTAAACTTCCTGGATCCCACAAGGATTGTCAGCTCACTACTCTGCTTCTCAAAATTTGAATTTTTGGGGTTTTCGTGTGTATGTGTGTGTGTGGCTTGTCTCAAACTTAATAACTTTTTTAAAAGGGTGAAACATCTATTCCACCACTGATAGATAAGGATCAGCCAGAACTAGTTTGCTGTCTGCTTTCTTGGATCTGATAGGTAATTCTAGACATCACAACTGCCGTAAACTCCCATAAGTGATTCATCCAATCTCTACGCAATAAGATTTCTGTGCTTTCCCCATTTATTCATCTGAAGAATTATGGCATCAAAGAAGCCTCCCAAGATCGAAAGGGGGGCAGTTTTGGAAAAGTCCTTACCTACGCAGGTGTGGTTGTCAGCGGCTAACTGAAAACCAGCATTGCATTGGCAGTAGTAGGAACCGGGAGTGTTCACACACCGATGGTGGCAAAATGGAGGCAGCAGACATTCATCTACGTCTGGGTTGTTAAAAGAGCACAAAGTTTTCATTTTAAATCTCAGTTTTAGTAATGGAGCAGAAATGAAATGAAGGGGATGATACTGCGAGCCAACCCTTTACAGTAGTGCCTCGCAAGACGAATGCCTCACGGGACGAAAAACTCGCAAGACGAATGGTTTTGGTGATGGGGTTGATGACTCACAAGACAAATGTTCCTATGGCCGTGCTTCGTAAGATGAATGTTTTCCGTTTTTTGTTCCTGCCTCCTGTTTGGTGATTTTTAAATGTTTTTTTATGATGTTTAAAAAGTTAAAGTTTTTTGATTGAAATTTTTGAAATCATCTGCACAATATGTATGGCTTTAAAGAGCACTTAATAAACCCTTTGTAAACCAAATTTGACTTTGTTCTGACTTTTTTTGCCCATAGGAACGGATTAATTAAATTTCAATGCATTCCTATGGGAAAACGCATTTCGCTAGACAAATGTTTCGCAAGATGACATTAACTGCAGAACGAATTAAATTCGTCTTGTGAGGCACCACTGTACATCCTTTTCTTTAAAAGAAAACAAAATAAACTACAGTTAGAGAAATTTATGTAGGACCCCTGTATCCTCGGGGGATCAGTTCCAAGCCACCCTGCAGATGCTGAAAAACGTGGATGATAGTAAACACTGTTTTACAGTATTAGTGAACGCAGTATATAGCATGTTCTCTGGCACCATCTAATGACCAATTCTGGCAGCTTCGTTGTTAGAAATACCTTTTTCTGGTATTTTTCTTTTAATACTAATATTTCCAGACTCTGGATAAGTGACTCAGTGGATCCTGATCACACAGATAAAGGGTCTTACTGTATCTTCTGGGTTTTACACTCTATATTCATATGCCATCAAGTCAATTCTGACTTAAGGCAACCCTTTTCAGGGTTTTCCAGGCAGAAAATACAGTGGTGCCTCGCTAGACGATGATAATCTGTTCCACTGAAATCGCTGTTTAGCAAAATCATTGTCTAGCGAAAAGCATTTCCACATTGGAATGCATTGAAACCTGTTTAATGCATTCCAATGGGCAAGAATTGTCGTTGTCTAGCGAAGATCAGCCATAGGAAAGCTGCTTTGTGAAACGCCAATCAGCTGTTTAAATCGCTGTCTTGCGAAGCTTAGGTCCCAAAAACACCTGTTTTGCAAGCGTGGAGGAAGCTGTCAAAATTGTTGTCTAGCGGAAATCGGTTTGCGAAGCAGGGACCAAACATTGTCCAGCAAAATTCCCCCATAGGAATCACTGTTTTGCGAATCGCTATAGCGATTGCAAAAAGTCAATGTCTAGAGAAAAATCTGTCATGCGGGGTAACTGTCTAGCAAGGCACCACTGTACTCAGAAGTGTTTTACCCTTCCCTTCTATTGTGCAGGTTGACCAAGGCTACACAGGCTGGCTCTACTAACAGGAGGCTCAATTGGGAAGGGAACTCACAATCTCTGGTTCTGCAGACAGACACCTAACTCACTGCACTATCCAGCCAGCTACCAAGGTCGATAAATATCTGCATTCAAAATCCTATGATCTACTGCATTTCATCTTAAACCTTAAAGAGGGTGGAGGGGAGGAAATCTTTTTTCTCCCTCTGGAAAGTACTTACCAACGCACTGATCTCCCCGCTTCTGATAGCCAGCTGGGCATTGGCAGGTGAACGATCCTCTTAAATTGACACATATTTGATCTGAACTACAGCTGTGGGTGCCTGTTGCACACTCATCAATATCTTTTAAAAGCAAGCAGACAAACAAAGGGTGGAGTGGTTAGGGCTTTGGAAAGACAGGCCTCCGTTTTCCGATTCAGCCTTGAGAAAAGAAGACTGAGGGGAGATAGGACAGCACTCTTCATGCACTTGAAATGTATTATTTTATTATTTATTTATTTACTAGATTTATTTGCCGCCCATCTGTTGTTGTTTAGTCGTTCAGTCGTGTCTGACTCTTCGTGACCCCATGGACCAGAGCACGCCAGGCCCTCCTGTCTTCCACTGCCTCCCGGAGCTGGGTCAATACCGCCCATCTAGAATGTCTCTACTCTGGGCAGTTTACACACTGTGTTTCCCGGAAAATAAGACAGGGTCTTATATTAATTTTTGCTCCAAAAAAAGGCAACAGGGTTTATTTTCAGGGGATGTTTTGTATTTTTTTTCAAGTACAACCATCTACATTTATTCCAAAGCAGTCATTTTATCTTCTTCTGGTGGCTGCACAAGGTTGGACGGCGAGGTTTCACTTAACTGGGGCTTATTTTTCATGTAGGGCTTATATGACAAGCATCCTGAAAAACCATACTAGGGCTTATTTTCAGGTTAGGTCTTCTTTTTGAGGAAACAGGGTATCACATAAAAATAAACTGAGGTAAAGTCCAAATTAATCACAAAGTTCAAGATGGGGAAAGGGGAAAAGAAGTAATGGAAGAAAGGGGGGGGGGAAGGAAGATAGGCTAGGTAATGGCTTTACGGAAGGCCTGCCTGTATGGCCATGTCTTCAAGTTAGTCTTGAAGGCCCTCAGCGAGGAAGCCATTGAATCTCTACAGGTAAGTTGTTCCAAAAGCGAGGGGCCACTGCCAAGAAGGCCCAATTTCTATTTTTCTCCCACTGGGCCTCTCTTGGCTTTAGGCCCCTCAACCGCCTGGCCTGACTGGAGTGGGTGATATGGGTAGAACTGGGCGGAAGAAGGCGCTCTGCAAGGTATCGAGGGCCTAAACCATTAAGGGCTTTGTACGTAATGGTTAGCACCTCAAAATCAATGCGGAAGCAGATAGGTAGCCAGTGTAGAGTGGCCAAGGTGGGGGAAATATGGTCATACAGAGGAAGGGCAGGGTCTATTCTTGATCCTCCCAGAGTGCAGGACACATAATTTATTATTATTATTATTATTTATTTAATTTATACCCCGCCTATCTGGTCGGTGAGGACCACTCTAGGTGGCTAACAACAACATAAGAATAGGCACAAGCTACAAGAAGCCAGATTTCTATTGAATATCAGGAAAAACTTCATAACTGTTAGAGTAGTACGACAATGGAACCTATGACCTCAGAAAGTGGTGAGCACTCTAAAACTGGAGGCATTCAAGACAAAATTGGACAGCCCTCTATCATATACAATTTGATCCAGGTTTGTGCCCTCAGCAGAGTGTTGGACTTGAGGGCCCTTCCAACTGCATTATTCTAGGATCCTATTTCTCTCATACTTTAAAATTTGCTTACGGAGTCATTGCAGATAGCAAAATCATGTCTAGAAGGTTTTAGCAGCATGTTGATGCCATATGTTGATGGTGTGATGTGATTACTCACTCATATGAATTATGATTATACATCCTTCATATGAGGGCACATATGGAGTAATAGGATTACTGGATCTCAAGACTGTAGTGCAGTCTGAACTAGCCAATACAGTATAGTGGGCCTGGGAAAAAGGCAGCCTTCCTCAACTGTATCTTGCACTAACCAGTGATAAGGGATGATGGGAGTTGTAGTCCTACACAATAGTGGATTTGTATGTGGTGGATGGAATGTGTGGCCACAGCTAGCCCCCTTAAGGAGTCTTCAATTATGTGGACAACAGGATCTGTATCAACAAATAAGGAGCAAATCTTTGTAAAGCTGATGGCTCTTGACACCCTGGCCAACACCAAAATACCTTCAGACATTAGACCATTCTGTGCAATACTAAACTGTTTTCAGGAAAATCTATTTTGCTCCTGTCTATTGTGAAGACTATAACTAAGTCCAGAGACAACATGGAAATCTGATGGCGGTAGTGGATAATTTCGCAATCCTAGAACTTTGACCCTGTGAGCCCTGGCTCCACTACACCATTGGTCCCACAGTATTGGGGAGGGGGAACGACATGTTTTCCAGCCCTGCTCTAAAGACTGGATGACCGCTGTATCTTTGTATGGACCAACAAAGCACTGATGGTGGCATAATCCACCCAACCGCACCACGGCAACCTGATCACTGAAATGTTACAGATGCAACGTGAGATTTAGCCATAGATAGATGACACCACATCTCTGCAGTCATAAGCCACTTCGGCTTGAGTTTGTTGCATTCTTACATTAAAAAAAAAGAATGGGTTCTTCTGTTCTCTTTCATATAATCAAATGCACCGCCCATCAGTTAAGGCAAGACAGGTTTATTTAATTTCATTTATATCCCACCTTTCTCCCAGCACAGGGCACCTAATTAAAACAGTTTAAAAGCCATTGAAAAGCACAAGGAGGAAAAGAGGAAACACCGTCTATTAAGAAAGAAAAGGGAAAGGCAGAGAATAAACAGAGACAGAGCAGTTAGATTTAGGACAATGGAAGCAGGGTAGGGCCATGTTTACATCTGCTCTTCCTTGTTTGTCCTTATTTGCTCCATGGCCAACGAACCTCTATCAGATATATACTCTGGTCAGATTATTGTGCATAGGATTCGTGACTATTGTGCTCACAATTCGAGATGGGGGGGAGGAAGGTGGCACACCAAACCATATCAAGTCATCTTTAGAGGATTAGAATTATCCCCTGAAATCTTGCTGATAAGAACCTTAAATAAAGTATTTTAGAGATGCGACATCCCCTTTAGCCAAACAGCGCTGCAGAAGTCTGATTTTGTTTTCTTCCCTCCCACCCTGCAGAGTTTCAATAGACTGCTTCATTGTGCCGGGTTGGGGTGTCGTTTCCCAGCCCGACGCCTGCGATAATCTGATACTGTGCTGTGACATGACTCTGTGCTGGCCTTCAGCACCAACTGGAAGTCTCTAAGCTGAATAAACAAATTCCTTAAAACTCCGTTTACAAATCCCCATTGAACTCTCCGTATTTGTTCAGGAACTGGGGACCGGTGACAGATCCCGGGCGGGGCCATGGAAAAGAAAAGATGGATTCTTTCTCATGCAAAATGAAAACAAAGTTGACCGCAAGGCTGAGAACGCAAAGAGAACCAAACTGTTTTTGACTTTATTCTTTAAACTGACTCCCCCGCTATGCCTTTGCACACACAGGCACACACGTGCGCTTCAAATACGCAAATATTTTCCAAGATGCTTCCTTTCTATCTGACAGCTCAAAAGAGACTTTTGTCTCTCCTGCCTTAATCTTTGAACTGATTGCTGCTCGTATCAGCTCTAGTTCACACTACGTACGCTGCTGGAAAAGCAGACGGCAGCCAGGTGGGACGCAGAACTTTTGTTAACCAGCAAAAGGCCTGTCACGGTGACAGGTGTCCATGCATTTGCATGCACGTGCAGCAGGGCAGTAACAAGGGTGGTACCTGGGCATCAAGATCCATTGGCGAGTGCTGGAAAAAATAAATGGCAATGCCTCCCAGCCCAATTCACTTCCTTTTTCCTGAAGGAATGAACTTTCTCTTCCTTTCCAGGTCACACCACATACAGTGGTGCCTCACTTGACGATTACCTTGTTAGACGATGATTAGTTTTTTTGCGATCGCTATTGAGATCGCTAAACGATGATTCAATGGGTTTTTTCCATTTTACGACGATCGGTTCCCTGTTTCGGGAACTGATTTTTCGCTTAACGACAATCAAAAACAGCTGATCATCGGGTTTCAAAATGGCCACCTGCTGTGCAAAATGGCTCCCCGCTGTGCTTTAGGACAGATTCCTCGCATTACAGTCACCGGAAAATGGCCGCCCTATGGAGGATCTTTGCTGGATGCTGAGGTATTTCGCCCATTGGAACGCATTGAACCGGTTTTCAATGCATTTCAATGGGCTTCTTTGTTTCACTTGACGAGGATTTCGCTTAACAGCTATTTGAATCGAACAAATTATCCTCGTCAAGCGAGGCACCACTGTACTCCTCTTTTTTTCAAGGCAGTTCAAAAAAATCATAGAATAATGGAGTTGGAAGGGTCGCAGAAGGCCATTGAATCCAACCCTCTGCTCAAGGCAGGAATCCAAACCAAAGCAGATCTGACAGATGGTCGTCTAATTTTCTCTTGAATGCCTCCAGTGTTGGAGCCCTCACCACCTCCCATGGTGGTGAAGGGTCCAACACTGGCTTCCATTGTCATACTGCTCTAACAGTTCAGAAGTTCCACCTGATATCCAGCCTAACTCTAGCTTCCTGTAGCTTAAGCCCACACGCCAGGATGACTGAGAACAGATCTAGCCCCTCCTTTGTCTGACAACCTTTTAAGTGTTTGAAAAGTGCTATCATATCTCTCCTTGGTCTTCTTTTCTCAAGGCTAAACATGCACAGTTCTTTCAGTCTTCATACTTCAGGCTGAAGCAAGTGAGAGACAATGACTTCTGCTTACATATAAATGAGAAGGCTTGCATGTGTCAGTCAGATCTATGGTGCATGTGGGCATGTATTCACATACAAACCAATGTTGGATGCTAAGCAATGAGGCATGTTATGTTCAGGTATATACAGTGGTGCCCCGCTAGACAGTTACCCCGCATGATGTCAAAATCACTTGACGATTACTTTTTTGTGATCGCTATTGCAATTGCAAAACAATGGTTCCTATGGGGGAAATCTGCTTTACGTTGATTAGGTCCCTGCTTCGCGAACCGTTTGTTCGCAAAATGTTGTTTTTTCCGTCTCCGCAAAATGGCTTCCCTTTGCAAAATGGCTTCCCTCCCTTCACAAAATGACTATTTTCCGGACCCCTGCTTCAGAAAGTGATTTTAAACAGCTGATTGGCAATTCTCTATGGGCAGTCTTTGCTGGACGAGGTATTTCCCCATTGGAGCACATTAA